TACGTGCTCGCTCACTGTGACTCTTGCTGGCTACGTTCGTTCTGTCTGTCTGTTACCTTCACCCTCTGCTGCTCTCACCCTCGGGTCTTCACGTAGCAGTAGTATATGTATATACTGGGTGAGTCCATTTGTGTAAAAAGAATCGGGAGTATGTGGGTAATACAGAGCGATCATGCTGCTTCTCCATTGCTCTCTGTCCAAGACAAAGTATCCAATATTCCTTATCTCTTTTCCCTGTGATGTGTAGATCATTGTTGGGCACCCCTTCCTTTTTTTTTTTTGCTATATTTTGATTGGTAAAGAACGAATTTTAATACGGGGTTGTTGGTTGCTCTTAAACTATACCCTAAGGCTCGTCCAACGATTTAAAAAAAAAAAGACGAGCAATAGTATTCGACAAGTTCTGGCAACTGAAGAACATATGGAAATCGCCAACCATTGAACTGAACTTAAAACGCCAACTTTTTGTTTTACTTTATTGTTGGACAGGCACTCAACAATCTGCTGAATCTGATTGAAACCACCTGTTACATACATATATATATACACAGGATGTTAAGAAAACATGACAGTATCAGAAACGAGGACGTCCTGTGAAGGGTTAATCGACAATCCCTGATTGATACTATAGATATTGATAAATAATATATGTTAATTCTGTTAAACTAGTTATATTATTTATAGACTTGCACATATGTGAATCTGCATCGCTCGGTTTTGTTATTTTTATACGAAGAGAAAGTTTAAAACTATTATAGCTGATAATACACACTGAGGGCCAAGATTTCCATCGATAAAAGCATTGGAATCTACTTCATTACACTCTGATTTAATTCCTCTTGTGGTGTAAAGTTTAACAAATCATTGCCACCGAATAGTGAGTTTGATCCTCACCGAGTGCCCCATACATGTGACACAGTGTTTTTGCTCTTATTAGATAATGAGATACACTAATACACAATAAGCTTGTTTTTTCGACAAAAATATATTTTGTTTTCTAGTGATCATTATAAAGTACCCCCAGCAATGATTAGTGCAATGCAAATTACTTCAAACACTATGGATTCTCCTTTCAAAGAAGCTATAAATAAAAATTCTATATTTTTATTTCCTGCTAAAATATTTGCATTTATATTTTGTATCCATGAATATTTTTCCTCTTTTACAACCTATTAGTTTTTTTTTATATTTCTTATTCTAATGTTCACCCAATACAAGGCCCAAGAGCCATTCAAGGTAGAAGGTTACGCTCTGGTGTTGTATGGATGTAAGAGAAGGCAAGAAGTGCAGTTTATGATGTTATGCATAAAAATAATAGTTAACTCTAGACTTGACGAGATTAAGATTGCAGTGATTGGGGAAAACATCCTCTCGGGAGTCTGTTCCACAAAGCAGCAGTAGTTCTTGTGAAGAAGCTGTCCAAGTAGAACTTACTTTTTACTAATGTTATATGAAGGGAATGAGGATGATTCATCCTCGTGTACGTGGCATGATAGGTCCCAGCTGCAAGGGTCAGGACTGGTAGAACCAAGGAATGTAGTTTGTTAGGACACACACCATGGAAATAGCAATAGAGTAGTGAGAAGCTCCCAACATTTCATCTGTGGGGAAAGGGGTTGTAGAATGTGATACACATGCTCTTTCGCTATTCTCACCCCCCCAATTACTTTAGCATTAATATTGATATTCAAATATGTATATCACGATGGAGTAATGGATAGCGGCTTGGATTGAGGAATCGGAGAGCCGAGTTCGAATTCCAGTCGAATCCATTACATTCACTTACGTGCTAATAAAGGAAAAAGGTGTGAATCCTCCTCTTCTCCCTCCAGCTATGGGTAAATAGCAGGACAGACTGGGTTCTATAGCCTTGGATAGCACCTGGCCTAGGAGAAGGACAACTCTGAATTCAAAACTCGCGGAGGGTCGTTTGGGAACCTTGTGGCACTTAGTGCACCAGGTCTCTGAATTCGGCCCTTCAAAAAGTGTGGATGGTCCTGCATGAAACCTTCACCACTATAATCAAATCTCATGTGCAGTTGTCGGGCTGTCGGTTTCCTGGGAATTGATCTGCTTGACCCTCATACGTCGAATTCGAGGGGAGAGTCTAATATATATATATATATATATATATATATATAGAAAAAGTTTCAAATTAAAAAATAATAATGTTTTATTTTATGAAAGTATTTATTTATTTATATATATATTTGATATTTCAAATTGTCCTCAATTTTTCATCAGAAATAACTGTTTGTTACAAATAAATTAAAATTACTGTTTGTTAGCAAGTAGCGTCCTTCGCGAGACGTGGACGTCACGTGATATACAGGGTGTTTCAAAAAATTTGATATCATTTCGCAATCTAATAACTTTGTTAGATCTCCTCCAAATGACTTCAAATTTTAATAGCATCTTTATGTTTAACGTTTGTTTTATGTTTTTATGCCTTTATGGATCGGGCGTGCTGGTGTTAAAGACAGTGTGTTGCTGAAATGGCCGCCCCGTTCACCTGGTTTAACACCTTGTGACTTTTTCCTCTGGGGCTACGTGAAGGGAATGGTGTATGTTCCCCCTCTTCCTGCAAACATAGAAGAACTCAAGCAGAGAATCAATATAGCACTGGAGACTGTTACCCAAGACATGCTTCATCGTGTTTGGCAGGAGCTGGATTACCGACTTGACGTATGCCGTGTCTCAGGCGGTGCGCATATTGAACATTGGTGAAATCGTTCACATACTCCACATGCTTTTGAATTTCTCATTCAGATTTGGAAGAATAAATCTTATGATCTTCAACATTAATACTTTTTAATTTCATTTGCCTTAATCATGTACTTTCTGTGATATTTACATCTCAAAGGATATCAAATTTTTGAAACACCCTGTATATATACAGTAGCGTCCAAAACTAAGGGACAAAATTTTAAAACCTAATATTTGTTAGAAATAACAACTGTGAAAAGCTGAAATTTTGACAACTGGTAGTCGTTATCATCCATAATAAGATACTAAAATTTGAATCATTTGCAAACGATAGAAAAAGAATTATAACAATTATTTATTTATTTTCAAAATAGGATCGTCCAAAAGTAAGGGACAAAATTGAGAAAAACAATGTAAACAGTATGCTATATTCAAATTTTTTGATTTCCTCTAAAGAATAAATCTTACTTAGTCATTTGTAAACGTTGCATCAGCCGGCACCATGGCGAAATGCCAAAAACTTGATTACTCTGTGAGACAAGCTATTGTGAAGCTACACAAGGAAAAGCACACCATTAGAGAGATTTCAGAGAAAGTGAAACGTTCCAAGAGTGTTGTAGGCAGGGTTGTTAAACCCTACAATGATACTGGCAAAATAGTTAGTGCTTTTAAAACCGGCAGACCCCGCAAAACTTCGGCAAGAGAAGATCGAATAATGCAGCGTATGTCATTAAAGGACCGTTTTAAGTCTTGCACAGAAATTAAAAGGGTGATGAATAGTACCTCATGTGTTAATGTGTCAAGACAGACTGTTTGTAGACGACTGCAAGAAATAGGGCTGTTTAATCGAACCCCAGGGAAGAAACCACTTGTTAGTTCGAAGAATAAGAAGAAGAGATTAGAGTTTGCAAACAGGTATGTAATTTGGACATATGAAAATTGGGCAAAAGTATTTTTCAGTGATGAAAGCAAGTTTAATTTATTTGGAAATGATGGAAAAAACAATGTAAAGAGACGTATTGGTGAAAGATTAAGTGCAAAGTGTACTAAGAAAACTGTCAAGTTTGGAGGCGGAAGCGTCATGGTATTTGGAATGTTTTCTAGCCAAGGTACAACGCCTCTTGTCCGGTTACAAAGTCGTGTAAACGCGCAGATCTATAAAAACATTGTTCAAGATCATGTTGTGCTAATCATACAGAATTCAGGTTTCGATAGGGCTACCTTTATGCAAGATAATGCCCCATGTCACAAGGCAAAGGTGGTAATGAGTTACCTAAGCAAGCAAGATTTGGAAATTATGGATTGGCCACGGCAAAGTCCTGACTTAAATCCAATAGAAAATCTTTGGAAGACCTTAGGAGTGAAAGTTATGGAAAGAAATCCCACTAACACGGAGGATTTGTAGGTGAAGCTTCAAGAAGAATGGTCTAAAATTAGCATCGAGGATTGTCAAGAACTGATTCGTTCTTGTAGTCGAAGATGTGCAGCTGTCATTGAGAGCAAGGGCTCATTTACTAAATATTGATTGTACATGTATTTTTATTGTTTTTTTGCCGTTTGCATTGTTTTTCTCAATTTTGTCCCTTACTTTTGGACGTTCCAAATTTGAAAATAAATAAATAATTGTTATAATTCTTATTCTATCCTTTGCAAATGATTCAAATTTTTGTATGTTATTATGGATGATAACGACTACCAGTTGTCAAAATTTCAGCTTTTCACAGTTGTTATTTCTAACAAATATTAGGTTTTAAAATTTTGTCCCTTAGTTTTGGACGCTACTGTATATAATGAGATACACTGACTTGCAATCTGTTTTCTATGATCTGAATAACAAACATCCTGAACTTTTAAGATATTTGATGAAAACATCCAAATCTACTTCATTATAATGACCTGATTGTGGTGAAAAGTTTACTAAATCACTGGGTGACCCATACTTATGGTACAGTGCCTAAAACAAAGTTGCTCTTAGTATAAAATGGGATACACTGACGTGCAATGAGTTTACTATGAGCTGAATAACAAGCATCTAGAACTTTTAAAATGCCACAGTTTGTGGTTTGAAATTTGACAAAAAGAAATCAAAATAAAATCTGAAAACTACAAATAATAATTATGAAGTATCAAATTATTCCATTTTCATGTGTAGAAAGTTTGGAATTTAATTCTCTAAAATATGTTGTTGTTTTGGGTTTACTTATTTTCTCATTAAAAATATCTTTTTGTTTTCTAGTGACCATTATAAATTACCGCCAGCAATGATTAGTGCAATGCAAACTACTTCAAAAACTATGGGTTCTCCCTTCAAAGAACTCTCCAAGGAGCCTTTTGATAAGCATATCTCAAAGATCCTCCAGAGAACAACCAGCCCACCACTACTCAAGTAAGAAGCTATAAATATAAATTTTTATTTTTATTTCCTGCTATAATATTTGCATTTATATTTTTGTGTATATTATTCTTCACTTATTTATCATTTACGGCATATTCCCTGAAAAAATATGATATGCACACTTTCCATTTTGTCTCTCTCGCTTTCTAATGCCAACTACTTAATATTCATTTTCAAAATGTTTGTAATTTAATTCTGTAAAATATGCTGTCTTAGTTTTTTCTCACTATACGTATCTTTTTTAATTTCTATGAGCAATTATAAAGTGCTTCCAGCAATGATTAGTGTAACGCAAGAAGAAACACATAATTAGCCTGCATTTTCCTTTTCTAGTACTCCCACACAGTAACGGACAATGAACAGTCTCAATGAATAAGAATTAAAATACATGAGTTTAATCTGTCTATATTTCTGAGATGAGGTATTATGTACATTATTTACATTATTCGGACTATTGTCCTCATCTTTGTCGCCATATTTATCACAACGTTTCGGCCGTTGTACGCTCCGGCCTTCTTCAGGTGGTTGGAATGTCGAACTGAACCCTTTATTTCGCTCACTGGAGTAGACTGTTCTAGTTCCATGTGCCATGTTTAATGGATGTCAGTTGTCAGTTATCTCCTGTTAATTCCCCTCTCCAAGTTCTCCACTGCCTTAACCTCAAAGACACATGGCACAGTGGATAAAGGCGTTGGTTAGATCCAGTAACAGGACCCAAAGAGTGTGAGTACAATACCCGGCAGTGGAGAACTTTCAGAGGGAAAATTAACAGGAGATAACTGATAACTGACATCCATCAAACAGTCTACCCCAAAAGCTTGACGATCCAGTGACAGGACCCAAAGAGTGTGAGTTCAATACCCAGTTAAGGCAGTGGAGTACTTTCAGAGGGAAATTAACAGGAGATAACTGATAACTGACATCCATTAAATATGGCACGTGGAACTAGAACAGTCTACCCCAGTGAGCGAAATAAAGTGTTCAGTTCGACATTCCAACCACCTGAAGAAGGCCGGAGCGTACAACGGCTGAAACGTTGTGATAAATATGGCGACAAAGATGAGGACAATAGTCCGAATAATGTAAATAATGAGTTTAATCTATATAAATAAAGCGCAGTGAACGTGTGTCCGTCCGTCCGTCCGTTTTTTGATCTCGGCGAATCATAAACAGCCTGAAGTAACAGGTAGTAACTACTGTCGTTAAACGCGATTAAAAATTAGATAAATAACTAATTTATAGTTAAATTTAAATATCGAACAGAGTGAAACGGCTTTAAAAAAAATAATTCCTTATTAAAGGTTTAACTTTAATTTCGTTTTTCGTCGCAATTGCAATTGACATCGTCTAATGAAACCGCAATTAAAATTTAAAATACTTCCTAGTTCACTTAAATAAAATAGACAATTTGTGTCAATTTGAAAAATATTTTCTATTATTGACTGATTGATTTCCTTATGTTGATCAAATTCTCAACAGTGTTTGTCATTGTAACATTGGACAAATGGCGCCGGTCTTTGACTCTTTCAAGGAGCGAGGGGGTGGCACACCTTCTGGACTGAAAACCCTGTCTAAATCTTTTAGCTAATGTCCACCACGACAAGCTACAGTTCAAGGCAGTTTTATATTACTTGGTTATTTGAGGGATAGGTGATGATCAGTGCATGAGTATGTATATTTATATGTCTGTGGCTATTCCAACTTCAAAATGACAAGGTTGCTTTTTACTTTGACAGTTGTTTTTTGTGTGCATTTTTATTTTTGTAGTTTGTTGTTTTTTCTTTTTTCGTTTAATTTTTGCGGTTTGTTGAATTTTTTTGGTGGTTTTAAAATTTTTTTTTTTTTTACCTTCCACCTCACCTCCAAAGTGCTCTTTCTGAAACACGATAAGGTCTTTGATATCAGAAAGCGGAAATCAAATTTGATGACGCCCTTCCCTTGATAACAAAAAGTAAATTTAAAACTAGGATTAATTCTTTGGAAATTATACTGTTTGTTTACAATCGCTATTAGTATACTAGAATCTTTACCGAACAACTTGAAAAGAGAAATTCTCCATTTTTTTTTTTGACTTCTTTTTTTTTCTTTTCCCCTTTTTTCTTTATTCTTCTTCGTTTTCTTCTATCTCCTTTTTCTTTTTCCTTTTTCTTCTTTCTTCTTCCTTTTCTTCTTTTCTCCTCGTTTTTCTTCTCTCTTCTTCTTTCTTCTTCTTTTCCTTTTCTCTTTCTTCTTTCTTCGTCCTTTTCTTTTTTTCTTCGTTTTCTTTTTGCTTTTCTTCTTCTTTCTTCTCCCTTTTCTTCTTTCTTCTTTCTTCTTCTGTCTTCTTCTTTTTTCTTCTTCTTTATTCTCCTACTTCTTTTTCGTATTCTTCTTTTCTTTTTCTTCTTCTTCTTTCTCCTTCCTTTGCTTTTTCTTCGTCTTTCTCCTTCTTTTTCTTCTTCATTTTTCTTCCTTTTTTTCTTCTTCTTTCTTCGTCCTTTTCTTTTTTCTTCTTTTTCTTTTTCTTCTTTCTTCTTCTTCTTTTTCTTCTTTATTCTTCTTTTCCTTTTCTTTTTTTCGTCTTTCTCCTTTTTCTTCTTCTTTTTCTTCGTCCTTTTCTTTTTTCTTCGTTTTCTTTTTGCTTTTCTTCTCCTTTCTTCTTCCTTTACTTCTTTCTTCTTCTGTCTTCTTCTTTTTCTCCTTAATTATTCTCCTTCTTCTTTTTTTCTTCTTCTTCTTCTTTTCTTTTTCTTCTTCTTTCTCCTTCCTTTGCTTTTTATTCGTCTTTCTCCTTTTTTCTTCTTCTTTCTTCTTCTTTTTCTTCCTTTCTTTTTCTTCTTCTTTCTTCGTACTTTTCTTTTTTCTTCTTTTTCTTTTTCTTCTTTCTTCTCCTTCTTCTTTTTCTTTATTCTTCTTTTCCTTTTCTTTTTTCTTCGTCTTTCTCCTTTTTCTTCTTTCTTCGTCCTTTTCTTTTTTCTTCGTTTTCTTTTTGCTTTTCTTCTCCTTTCTTCTTCCTTTTCTTCTTTCTTCTTCTGTCTTCTTCTTCTTCTTTTTCTTCTTCTTTATTCTCCTTCTTCTTTTTCTTCTTCTTCTTTTCTTTTTCTTCTTCTTTCTCCTTCCTTTGCTTTTTATTCGTCTTTCTCCTTTTTTCTTCTTCTTTCTTCTTCTTTTTCTTCCTTTCTTTTTCTTCTTCTTTCTTCGTCCTTTTCTTTTTTCTTCTTTTTCTTTTTCTTCTTTCTTCTCCTTCTTCTTTTTCTTTATTCTTCTTTTCCTTTTCTTTTTTCTTCGTCTTTCTCCTTCTTTTTCTTCTTTCTTCGTCCTTTTCTTTTTTCTTCGTTTTCTTTTTGCTTTTCTTCTTCTTCCTTCTTCCTTTTCTTCTTTCTTTTTCTGTCTTCTTTTTCTTCTTCTTTTTCTTTTTTTTTTCTTCTTTTTAGAACTTCTGTAGCGTGCGTTGCGAGATTAAAAAACAAAAGCAATCGCTAAGCAATGGTCAGAGAAAGCATTACACGAAGCAAATCTCTACAGGTTCAAAAACTGAATGGATTTTGTTGTTAGTGCAATCAGTGAACGAAGGAATGTCTGGGCAAAAAACGTACAACGCCAACATTAAGTCGAGGCAAAAGCATTTTTTCTCCTTTTACGTAGATAAATTTGCGTGCGTCTATTGTTGGTTGTGTTATCGCTTGAGCAGTTTGGGGAGAGATAGAGTTCACACTTCCGTGAAGATTGCCTCAACAGCACCTGTTCGCACTGTCTCCTAATTTAGTTGAGAAGGGTCATTGCGTTTTGATTAGGGGACAAACAGACTGATGATGAAATGCGGGCAAGGCTGACCGAAAGAAGAAAGAAAGCAAGGAGAAAGAGAAAGGAAAGGAAGAAGTAAAAAGTGAAAAAAAGGAGGGGAGTAAAGAAGAAAGGAAGAAAAGAAAACGGAAAACAGAAAGGCAAAGCGGAAGTAACTAGAGATGGAAGGACATAATGTATGAGTGATCGAAGGGAATATAATGAAGAAAATAACTACAAAAAGAAAGAAAGAAAAGTAAGAAGCAATGAAGGAATAAAGGAAAGAAAGAAGGTAAACAAAAAGAAAGAAAGAAAGTAGGAACGTAAAAAGGAAAGAAAGAAGGAGAGAAAGAAAAATAAATAGGAAATAAATAAGGGAAGCAAGACTGACGAAGGAAGAATGAGTGGGAAAAGGAAGGAAATAAGAAAGGAAATAAGGAAGGAAATAAAGAAGGAAAGGAAAAACGAAGGGGGAAGGAAATTACCTGAAAGAAAGAAAGAGAAAAAGAGAAACAAGAAAGAAAGAAAAAAGAAAGAAGGAAAGAAAAAAGAAAAGAAAAGGATTTTTTTTAAGCGTTTCACCCCAAGCAAGGCGGGAAGCCACTAGAACGCAAGGGGTTACAGAAAATTTGGAGCAAGATCAGATAGGAGTGATAGAGGAGAAGATGAGAAGGATAGTGGATAGATCAAGGCAACTGGAGATGTCGATTGACATTACATTTGAATAACTGGAGATTATAGCTCTCAGGGAAATTGGAATAGGGAAGGGAGTTCCACGGGCGAGAGGTGCGAGACATGAAGCTATTGGAGTACAAGAGACGGTTATTTTTAACAGTTTCAACAATGAAAGGGTGAGAGCGGGATGCCAGCCTCGTAGGGCGCTTGAACTCATGAAGTCTGGGAACCAGCGAATGCAGCTCCACGGAGCAATTACCATGAAAGTATTTGTAAAAAAGACAGAGGGAGGCGACGGCGCGTCTGTGAGAAAGTGACTGTAGACGAGATGCCAGAGCGGGGCCAATTATATTGCATATCCGCCTCTGGAGCCTATCAAGAACCCCGAGGCAAACAGAAGGGGCTCCAGACCATATATGGCAGCAATATTCCATGCAAGGGCGAATTGTTGATTTGTAGATCTGGAGGATCGATTCCGGGGAGAAAAATTTCCTGGCGCGGCACAGGGAGCCAACTTTCCTTGCGGTGGACAAAGCAATTGACTCAATGTATTTATTCCATCTCAGGTCAGCAGTCAACGTGAGACCGACCAGCCGCAGAGAGGTGGTCTCGAGAAGTTGAGCGTCAGACATTCTAATGGAGGGCAGGGAAGGATCTCTGTGGTGATTAATGGAGAGCAGTTTTGTTTTTGAAGCATTAAAGTTGACCAGCCAATTCCTGCCCTAGAAGTAAAGAATGCAAATTATGAATTAAAAAGCTTGATGTCTATACAGATGTGAAAAGTTACTTATTTGGGAGTGGTTATAAATTTTTTTTATTTATTTATTAAGTTTATCTAAATCTGACAAAATAATCGCACGCAATGCGGATCGATATCACCAGGCAGTCTTAATGGTTTGATCGACAGTTTCGCTGGCCGTTACTCCTCATGAAATTTAAATGACAATGTGGCTTAAACTTACTAGTACGCTGTAATATTCTGACTAGATTTCTAGTCATAACATACGGGGAGGTATTTATTTATTCAACCTGGGAGGCAAATTAGATTTTTTCCGTCTGACTAAAATTATAAAGGTTAATTCTTTAAAGAGTTTGACTTCCTTGTACTTTTTTTTTTAAGTTCGTGCACAAAAATTTTATGTATAATTCAGTAAATGCAAGATCTGACAAAATGACCGAACATCCATTTTATTGGAGCAGAATAGACTAACCAAAATCCAAACAAGTTCCGGCCTATTCTGTTGCATTGACTTCATACTTTAAAAAGGCATGAATCCATTCATTCAGATATAGCTTAAGTAGCAGCGTAAGAAATGCAACGCTTTGGTTTGGTTTACGGCATATCAGCCTCAATGTGTTATTTAATGCCGACAAAATTTTTATTGCTGGTAATATTTTGTTTTGTCAAAAATCTATTTCTGGTAATAATTTTTTCCTTCAAAAATGTATTGCTGGTAATAATTTTATTTAAAAAAAAGTATAGCTGGTAATATTTTTCCCAAAATGTATTGATGTTAATATTTTTTTTTTTTAAAACGTATTGTTGGTAATAGTTTTTTCCTTCAAAAATTATTTCTGGTATTAAACCTATTTTTACACTTTCATAGTGTTTTGATCCCAGTTTGGGAGTTAACTATTTACCCACAGCAGGATCCTAACAGGTGCTACCACCCCGGATCAGGGTGGTCCTGGGAACACCAGCAATTAAGAGGTGATCAGAGGCCTTGCTGCTGGACGTAGTTCATCGTCTTACCCTGGACCCGGACAGAGAAATACAATGGGTAGCCATTTCACTATATTTACTGAAAAGTCATAGCAATTCAAAGATAATAAAGAAAAGGAAGCCGTGAAGAGCTATGATCGCTTACGTTCTTTAGGGACACAGCATTACACACACACACATATATATAAATATATATATATATATATATATATATATATATATATAATATAAGAATCTGAACGAACGAGCATATAATTGGTTGTTGTGTTAAATTATCACCCTGCCTCTTTAGCTTTTACTTATTAGAAAAGTTGAACGTCAGGCAGCTGTACATCTTATGAAATAATGTAACAAATTGTATCTGTCCATAAGGAAATTGTCTAGGATTTATATGCAGACAACTTCGTGTCATAACCTATATTAAATTTTTGTTCGCTGATTTTGAATTTAGTGTATGTCACATTCGATTGGTTAATCACAGCAAAACCTACAAGCCAATTTTTATTGTTTTTGGTCCTCAAAAAAAAAAAAAAAAAATAGGAAGTATTCTGCTTTTGAAATTAATTTAATCGTTCACTTGCCAGTAGTTTAATATCGCCCGAGGAGACACATTTGTAGTGTTGAAACATAATTTTAATTGTGTAGCGATTTTTAACATGTTTTTGTTTTAATATTCTAAAATAAATAATATTTATCTCTACTAGCCCTCTTTAAATTAAATATTACGTGCAGAGGAATTATACTTCATTTGTTCTCATTTTACCTGGATATATATATATATATATATATATATATATATATATATATATATATATATGTGTGTGTGTGTGTATAAATATTCTCTAATTGAGTGTATCTGTAGAGAGAAAAAATGAATAAAAAAGAAACAAGAGGAAAAACTATACTTAGTCGACGCGTTTCGTCCTCTGTGGGATTTTAGGAAGGCAATGTAGGATTTATTATGCTGCACGTGTTTATATATACAGCTGCAAGGATGTCATTGGTTTATCAAGCCTTATAAATTTGAGAACTTTCATGAATTTTAATTGAGTGTTTGGGAAGTCAGTCAAAGCATGTGGAGGACGCAAAATGTCCTAATTCAATGTCTGGTGAAAAGTAAAGTGAGCGAGTTTTATTTAATCATTTTTTTTTTAAATGAACGTTTTTTGGATTGTGACTAGATTGTTATGGTATAAAATGGGGGGTTGTGCTGTAAAGGCTGGAATGATGGATTTAACTGTTTTCTTTTGATTTTTCAACATAATTGTTGTGTATGTTGGTTTGGGAAAGTAGTAATCCTTTCAGGAAAGGTGAGATTGGAAAAGTAATTTACTCAGAAGGAAAATTCTCGAGAGTGCCGCATATCAATCTGCGGCACGTTTTCTTATCTCTTTTTGTGTAGTGCTGCTGGGTAGTGTATTGGCTCTGTCTTGCTTATTTTGAGCACTCTCTATTTCTGTTTAGGTAAGTGTCTGTGTTTGATTTTTTTTCTTCTTCTCAGTTCGTGTTTCCAGTTGGTTTGGGTTTATTGATTGGGGTTTTATTTTCTTTGGTCACTTTGCAGGCTTCGTCGGGTTTTGCCAATACTTTGGTCTGTTGGTTTGTTGTATATATATATATATATATATATATATATATATATTGTCTTCTCTTCTCGATTAAATCGGAGAAATTTTCATATATATATATATATATATATATATATATATATTGGAAGTGCTATCGGAAGATACGGCATCCTTTAAAAAGGATTCTGGTGAAATAAATTATTATAATGGTACCTTAAAGTGGTCTGTTTTATATATATATATATATATATATATATATATATATATATATATATATATATATATATATTATTATTGTTGTGGATTCCGGGTTGAAATCCGGTACCAATAAATAACAAACGCCAGGAATGAATATATGAAAATAATGTATTAACTTAATAATACAAACTGGTAAAGCAGGTTAGTAGTTCCAGGAATACGGGTTATTAGCAAAATATATATACAGTCTTTGGTATTGAAGTATCGCTGTATGACTTCTTACTGAGTCTACGTGCTCGCTCACTGTGACTCCTACAACGCTGTTACCTCACCCCTCACTCTTCCGGTTACCTACAACCTTTTACTCTGTCACTCTGGACTCGACTCGACTTCTCGGTCTTGCTCTCGTCCTACTCTCGTCTTGCTCTCGGGTCTTCCCGTAGCAGTAGTATATGTATATATTGGGTGAGTCCATTTGTGTAAAAAGGGGAGCACCCCTCAACAATTATTATTATTATGTCAGCTTATTAACACTC